AATAATACTGTCATGTTGTTTTTATATGTTTTTTTTCGGTAATTAATCTTAACAATTGTAGTCCAGAAAGCGAATTTTCTTTCTTTTCTAAATGCTTTAGGTAAATTAGGTAATTTCCCCCAAAACAGTATCTGATTAGGTTGGCATGAACCATATTTATAACTTCAGGCATGTTTTATTACACAATATTTTTATAAAAATATTTAAAAAAATATTTTTTTTACCGAATTGGCCAGTAAAAAACCAAAATTTCGACTTTTTATGTCCCACCTTGTTTTCTTCTCTTCAAAGCACCTCTGTTGGTTTCATCCAGGGCCTCCACATTTGAGAGGGGTTGCCAGACACTAAGATGTAGGGAGGGTTTTTGGTTCTGAGGACTTTAAAAAGAAAAACACCAATAATAATTGAAAAATAATTTTCAATTTTTAATTTTCTGTAATTTGTTATATAAATATCTGTTCATTGTTCCCTAAATTTCCTCCAACTTAGAGCCAAATCTAAGGAGCCAATCTCGAATCATAGCCATATGACTAAAAACACGTTTTCGCACTCCAACCGAACATGGGGAATGGAATTAGATGAAATTGATTTGGGGCCATTTAGGTGACAATTCACACAGTCGCTGAATACAGACAGACAGACACGGAACCAAATTTCCCTGATGTCCAAAACGTAAAAAACGAAAAACATTTAAGATTCTGAGCAACAACATTTTTTTTTTTAACTTGTCGAACTAATTAAACTTCCCTACCTTCGGTAGTTAGGAACCAAAATATTTTGAACGTGAATGGTAAAAATAATTTTTTTTTAAAGTTTATGTCCCTTTCTCTCTAATATCATTAAAAAAAAATGTCTTTAATCATGAAAAGTCGAATTAGCCTTTTCAAAACCAATATAAGTATTTTAATTTATTATAATAACGGAATATTAAATATATGACACCTTCTTTTGGCTTTTAGGCAATATGGGGTTTCCCGGGTCAGGGGTGAGGCCGGGGGATTAATGTCAGAGAGACCAAAGAGCTCTCCCAGAACCGGGACGTGAACTCGTAATTATTTTTATTATATAATTTTTATATAATTTTGACGGTACCACATCCAATTTTCGAAATTTAAAAGTGTTAAATAAGAACTAATTTTATGCAAAAACTGTCCAATCGTTTAATGTGCTTTGTCTATCCTATTTAGGTTAGAATTAATTTACATCGTAAAGAGACCACTGACGCACTTTAAAACGTTTTAAAAATAAGATTTTTTTTTGTAATCAATGCGACTTATATTTTATAATGTTTTAGAATTCTAGCCATTTTAAATTTCATATTCTATTTCAGCATTTGTTTTGTTGCCGTGTCCATATATAATAAAATACCAAGGCCAGTAGATATAATACCCACGATACCTGGCAACCTAGCTCCCAGGTAACAAATCCGACTAAGGTCAGCTTGACATTCGGTCCTCTTGAGGTGTGATAAAAAAAAAATTAATACGCGGATCAGGAAAAAGTGGCAAAATGTGAAAAAGAGAATTATAGATATTAAAGTTAGGCAATGACCTCGAAATTCATTGAGGTCTATCTTAAAGTTTTTATACTTTCATAATCATACCTCTTTTTTTTATTCAACAATTACATATAAGCCTCTATAATCCGCCTTTCGCTATTCCGGCACGTCCAGTAATCCGGCGCTCCGAGGGCGGCTGTGGATCAGCTGTTTTTATCTTGAACTGTATTTTACACAAATAGTACCTCTTCGTTTGCTGTCGATGATTGTAGTTCGTCATATGTAACCAATATTGAAAAATGACCAAACTGAATCGTTCAATTCAATATTAATTATCAGTAAGTAAGTAAGAATTATCAGTAACAGTAAATTTGAAAACAGATAAATTGCTACCAGTAAAGGATGCATATTGTGCTCGGTTCATGCGAAATAGATTCCGGTACACGCCAACTTTAGGGGAAATTCAGGAAGGAAAAGGTAAAAAATTCCTTTTATAAAAAATATATTTAAAGTAAAATTTCCATTTTAAATTAACGTCTTCACGGTCAGCATTTAAGCAGGGAGTTCTTTCTCCGGATTATAATAATTTAGAGAGCGCAAAGTTTTGAATAAAGTTTAAATTTTAGATTTAGTAAAAAATATTTGAATACAAATTGTGATGAATTAGGTATCCATGACTTCAATTCAGAAAATGAAATGAAACATATTTAAAATGACAAAAAAAAAAAAATTAAGTTACGAAGATTTAGCAATATGAAATTAAAAAACAATTTTAAAGGTATACAATATTAAAAAATAGTAAAATAACTTAATTAAGACAAAGTTAATTTCATAAGATAATAATATCTATTTAGTAATATATTACCTGAAATACCGTCTTATGTCGAAAAAAACTTTTTGTCTCTCCTTCATCTCCTTATTAGGATATACAGTTTTTTTCCTGGGCCAGAGAACAGGGCGAGGGATTTATGCCGAGTTAAACGAGTCCCTCGGTCCCGGGATTGGAACTTGTGATATTCTGTTTATCATCAAGTATCCAAAAGAATGCGTTTTTTACAAAACGTGTTAGCTCGCTCGGCCACCCCACCCACATTATATCGGTAATCTGTTTTATAATTATTCTAGTGTTTTATAATTTTATTTAAGGGGATTTAAGAAATCTGAAGGAAAATTAGTCTGCTCCATCTGATAGAAATCCAAGTTATGGCGCTCAATTAATCACGAATTTAGATAATTTTAATCTCTTACTTTTTAACGATTTACCTAAATTGACATATCGCATAAAACATTTTTATTTTTATTGTATTTTACATTATAAAACCATCATTATATACTTAATTATTTTAAATATTAATATAAGTAATTAATCATGCGAGGTTTTCACGGTATTTGTATTGCTTTTTAAATACGCCTCCAGTAATTTCAATTTCGGTAATCCACCACCATCAATCCCTACAGATGGCCGGATTAGGAAGATCCTATTGCGCTTCATTATACAAAATCGGTTCTTATTGCTTATGACTTTATTAATTAGTCAAAAACTGTGGGTGTTGGACTGGTGTATTTCGAATACTACTAGAATTATTCGGAAATCTAATTTTACTATCACTCGTAAACTTTTCCAGCTCATTTTCGGTGAAGTATGTTATATAGATGAAAATAAAAGGCTTCAAAGGATGACTTCAGACAATTTTCATTGAAATCGGTACATTCGTTAAAACAGTCTAAGCGGTACATATTTTTTGGCCACCTTCTTGAAAGGAAAAGGCGGTTGGCAATGGTGAGTTTCGAGTATCATATTCGGGTGTCCTTTGAAATAGATATCGAATGCCAAATCATTCGGTCCATAGTCTCAGAGAAAAGACGCGAATGGCGGACGGACGATTTTTTTTTTATTCGATTTTCAGATTCTACGTATCTTAAATGTCGCGGCTGAGAGAGAAGCACTGGGATCTCCTGGAGTCCTGCCTTGGCTTCCACGTCGGGGAATAAGGCATGACTCAGAGTCCCCTGGGTGAATGTAAATATTGTACATAGGTGTGAATGTGATTTATTTACTTTAATTTCATCTAGCTTTTATCTATTATTTCATTATTTTTTTTGTACACAGGCATACCAATTTACTTATTTTATATTTCTTTTTCTTTATTATTGATATTAATTGTATGTACATATTGTGTGAATGAATCATGTAGCCTTAATATTAATGCCCTTCAATGTGACAGAATGTATTAATATTCAATAAAGAAAGTTAAAAAAAACAAAAAAAAAAAAACGCATCTTAAAACGCAAAACCTCACTTTTTGAGGGAGTTAGCCTTTTTTTTCCTTGGTATATTCAATCTTTATATTATTAATTTTGTACCTTATATTACATTTTATTATTGGGTACGTTATTATTATTATTTTCGTATTATTCAATTTCTTCTTTAAACTGTGAACGTCATTTCATACGAAAAAAGTAATGTGATGTCTTGTGTTTTCTATATTAATTGTTAAAGATATTGTTGAGGGAAACAAAAGTATCACAACAAATCAAACCTTATTTCTTTAGTATTTATTTCTGTAAAATATGTTTTCAATAAAACAATTAAATAAAGGCCTACTATGTTTATGAATAACAATTTCTTGAATCTCAAGGTGTAACATGCATACCAATTAAGGACATAAATTTTGTTTCAAATAAATTTTGTCTTTTATCAAATATTAATTGTTTCAAATAAATATCCAAGGGTATAAAACACTTTTAGATCGTCATTGAACTAAATTAATGGGTAAATGATTTGAACCCGGAAAATAATGATTTTTTTTCAGAAAAAGTAATCTTAAATTATTCTATTTAATCAATAATCAAGGTCGATTATTGAAAATAATACACCAAAATCAAATTGTTATTTAAAAAATCTATAAACTCTTATAAGTAGTAGAATGTTTTAACAATATTCTTCCACACAAAAGTTTCCTCAACCTTCAAGATCAAAGGAAAGGATGTGATAAATAATGTATTATATAAGAGAAAGTAAACATGAATAAAGGAAGGTATGAATTTTAATGAACGGTATTTATTTATCAAAAGATACACGTGTGCTTTGATTTGTCATTTATCGATTGTAATATGACTTTTAGACATCTTTGACTTTAACAACCGAGCTTCTCAGAATTCAATTTTATATATCTCTTTGGACCGTACTCCTGGCATGCTTTTCAGTTATTTGTTTCTTATTAAATTTTACTCAAGATGGATACATTTTTTTCACTTTACATATTTTCTTTACCTGGTTATACATATTCATGTTGTTCCATCTACGATTGGAAAAACTACCAAGGATTCTACTTTGAGCACAATTATCCAATAAGAACCATCTTCCCATCAGCGGGATTCCTATCCAATCCCGTTGTGGATAAAAATCTAATCGAATTTCGTGATGGATCCTGATAATCAATTAATGATAGCATTATAACTTAGCTGGTACTTTAATATTAATTTGATTTCTAATATTTACCTGATACTTCAGACCCCTCGCCCTTCAGCTCGACAATTGCAGTGGGAACTGGAACTGGCTGAAACAAAGAAACAAAGATGTGAATAAGGGCAGCAGTTGTGATTGAAATTGTTTCAGGGATACGATGTCGAATATCGTGGATATGAAACAAACGTAAAATGCGAATTTCATAATTTAATAATATAAGAAGAGCTTTTGTCAAGGCAAACATCCGGTAAATTATCTTGGATGCCTAGACCTAACGGCACGACATGCCCGTCAGGTAGCGGTTAAATAGAAGCTGGATGAGAGATCTCCTTTCCTGAATAAAGAAGTAAACAATGACTATGAATTAAAATAGTAAGTATAATATAATATTATCTCGTTAGTTTACACATATTTACTTATCTTTAAGTTGTTTTATTTTAATATAAATCATGAAGAAACTTACCGAGAGACAAAAATCCATTTTTTTGTAGTTTCTACAGGAACTAACTTTAAATATTCAATTACAAAAAAAATATATAGACATCATATATATGATTGAAATTCAAAATTATTGATAACAATTGATTACAAAAAGGCCTCAATTAAATTGTGATAGGAAGAATCTATAATAAATCCTCAACCCCATAAATCATGTAATAATGGATTACAAATTGGTCAATGAATCTCCAATTGAATCATTATTAGGACAGGACATTGGATCATTATAATAATTAATTATTATATCGATTTAGAATTATTTTAATAGATACTGCAACTAGGAAAGAAGGGGGGAGAGGCGACTTCGGGGGGGAGTCAGTAAGCTTATGCCGCTAATCTCTGGTTCTTAATGCTACAGAATAGGTGCATTTAGATGTTTTACTGACATAAATATAATAAAGTTACTAACTGGGGGTGGGATGGCCGAATGGGCTAACGCGTGTGCACTGCACCGCCGTTGCCCGGCAACCGGATATATGATTCTATGATATGAAAATAGTTACGAGTTCGCGTCCCGGTCCCAGAGGGAATTTTAAATTCCCCGCCCTCACCCTCTGGTCCGGGAAAATCCCGTATAGCCTAAAAAGGCGATGTTGGGAAGAACAGGAAAAATAAAAAATAAAATAAAAATAAATAAATAAATAAAGTTACTAAAATTAATAATTAAAAAAAAAAAACTTGACAATCCATTAAAGGCATTGCAGTGCACACTATCCAAGAAAGATAGTGTTAGTAAAAACGATACTTGTCCACTCCACTTTGGAATTGAAGAGATGTAGGGTAAAGACAATCTATACAATACCACCAATTATTTAAATAAAAAATCTAGTGTGTCCACTCACATGATTTTCCTACCGATTTTAAACAATTTAAATATGTTAATTGAAAAAAACAACTAATTTTCCTGATAACTTATCAGATAAATCATTAGAATGCGATTTCTTTAATGAAATAAACCAATGTAAACGGGCAAGTGAACAATTATTAAAACCAGGGTATATAATTCAATACGTTGCTAAAACTGGTCCGATTTAGTCGATTTTTTTTATAGTTTTCTAAAAAATTTAATAACCTTTTAAAGAATGTTTTATACAATAGAAATATTACTGCCATTTTTGAGAATGGGGAAACCTAAATAAATCCCGTATGAAAAATTGGAAGGGTTAAATATTGGTTTTACTAATTTTTTACATATAATAACTAAAATTGTCTACTATTAGTAACTACTTTGCCTCAATTTTTATTCAATAAAACACCTTTTTTTTTATCTTTCTTGGTCTTAGTCTTGGTCTTGCAAAGTGCAAATTATGTAATTATAATTGCTTGCCAACAGTTAATTGCCATTTAATTTTTTTTCTTTCTGTATGTTTTGTATATAACTGTATTTTTCTTAAGATTCTATGTATGTATTTGTATTATAAAAATATACCAGACCGATGTATATATTTTTTTGAGCTTTTGCTGTTATTGTAAGTACAAGCGGATCCAGGATTTAATTTTGGGGAGGGCTTCAGCCCGAAAGATTTTTTTTTCATATACATATAACGATATTTAATTTGAAAAAAAAAATAAAGAAATTAATTACCTATATGAAATGGTGTTTAAGTGGTTCTTGAAGTCCTATTAAATATAATTACACGAACAAGAATACTTTAAGAGATAGTTTTAAATATATTTTTTTGTAAAACATGGTTATATTTTACCATTTTGGGGGGAGGGAGGGGGCTTCACCCCGAAAGCCCCCTCCCCACGTAGATCCGCCTGTGATTCTAAGGTCCCAGAATAATATTATTTTTCATTCATGTTTTTGCAACTTTAGCATATGAATGCCTAATGAATCTAAGAAATTGCCTAAATTAACTTATCAAATATTAATTGGTTATTAAAGATTGGTTTAAGGTGTCTTTAAGTAAGCAGATGTTTTCACTACTGCTAGTGAAAGGTTGGGGACAGCAAGCTGCATATCGTGAGCGACGCCAACTTGAACTCAGAGGCCGTAGTTCGTGGTAGGAGTTCCTGCATGCGTTGCGCAACCTATTAAGTATTCATTTTTCATGTGATTCTTATTCATATTTCTGGATCTTATTAACATAAAAATAACTTGTGTAATGCACTTCTGTAAGCTATGCAATCCCACTCAACTACCTCCGGCAATTGATTTTGTTGACTCAATTACTCAACAGAAAAAGAGTGAGATTACGGAGACGAAAGACCTCTACGCATAAACGTGGTTTTATTTGGTATGAATAATAATACCAGACTTATTCATCAGAACAAATACCAGTCGTGAAAGGAATTAATTATAAATTATTCGAGCTGCTCGTTTACTTTAAGGAAATATTTGTGTGTATTTAAAAATTTTGAAGAGGAAAAATGAATTCTGCCAACGTTATAAGCCAATGAAATAAATATTTTTTAAAATTAAAACATTATCCTTTCATTTATTTATTTTTTTAAATTTATTTATTTATGATATTTACAACTTTATTAAGTAAAAAATACATTCAGTAAATGTGATAACATAAAATAACAACATGAAAACACATGTTGAGAAACTGCCCACTGGTAGCACTTTAAAAAATGTATTTACAATAGGAGGTCTCGAATCATCTTCTTTTCAGACGCCTCGGAGGATGATCAGAGATCGAAGAGGAAGAAAAGTTAGAAACGAGTGGGTTCGAATGGTTCTGAACTTTGTTATGGAAGGAGAGGTGTCTGGATTGGACCAAATCGGAAACATAAGAAACATTAATGTCGTTATGGGCGATTTTTTCATTTATTAAATGAGAAGATTGTCGGTCACCACTCAACGTTTTGGCGGATTTTATCTGTAGAAGATTGATTTAGCCATAAACCATTTCATTGTCACTGTTCATAGCCATCTTTAATTTTGAGATAAATTCTTATTTTAATGCGGAAATTTGAATTCATATACGTAAAGGTGAAAGACATAACGTGAAATTCGTCTTTACAGTAACTTCAGAGGTTGGTCAAATCTTACGATAAATAAGATTGGGAAGAAATATGAAGGACAAGTGAAAAAAACTGGAAGGAGATGAAAAAAATAATCTAAATAGAACACAAGCTATGGCAGTTCCAGAAAATAATAATAAGATTTTGAAGCTCAACCCTGTCAACAATGTCGGATAATTTGGCTAACATATTTTTGTAGGTAGTCCGAAATTAATTAGTAGAAATCAAGGAAAGAAATTTAATTTTGAAGAAATTCTAAAACATTATAAAAGCATCGAAAGTCCTGCGGTTTTTTAAAGAAAAATCTAAGTTCATTACAGAATGGGCACACTCATAAACTTGACCGTAATTCATTGATTTCCGACGCTCTTCAATTATTTCATCACTAAATTTTGGAACTTGATCAATACAATTCTGTGTATTTTTTCCAAATACCCTTGGCAGGCATGTAGGGGACAACTAAACAAATAAAGTAACTCTTACTGTCCTCCACGGGCGGATCTACGGGGAGTGGGCTTTCGGGCTGAAGCTCCCCCCCAAAATGGAAAAATATAACCATGTTTTATGGGAAATTTTTTTTTAAAATTACGTCTTAAAGTATTATTGTTCGTGTAATTACATTTAAAAGTACTTAAGGAATAAATTAAACACCATTTCATATAGGTAGTTAGTTTCTTTCTGTTTTTCCAAAGTAATTATCGTTATTTTTATGAAAAAAAGCTGAAGCCTCCCCCCCAAAATTAAATCCTGGATCTGCTAGTGCTGTCCTCAAATCACTAAATTGTTCTCTCGTGGCTCTGATAGTTTATTAAATTGGAGTTCCTGCATCATTACATTTTCTCATTATTATTATATCTGAGGACTGAGTAGCGCTTTTTCACCTCAACCCATTTAGGTGTGAGAGAGACTAGCTCTCTGGTTAAATAGAGGTTTTAACGAAATTTTAGGATTCTGATGAATTACATTTCATTCTTGGGAGAAAGCATAGAAAAATCTGTTCTTGCAAGATCTGCCCTGTGTGGCGTTTTCTCCGGCAAAGTAGTGTAAGTAGTGTACTAGGTAGGATAAATAGGAAGATTCATATTCACACAGAATTTATTCCATTATTTATTTGTAATAAAAACAGATATGACAGGCCCTATCAAGGTTTATCTTATTCAGACGACATCATGACGATAAATGATTCGAGAGAAGTTATGTAAAACCATCCGATAAAAGTAATTGATGTAAAGTAACTTAAAATGTCTCTATAAATTAAATTTATTATGGTTGTTGAATCTGGCTTTAAACTGAATCTAGGGCACGACCTATCTACCTGTCATACACAGCACTAGATCATTAAATGACTTTCGAAAGACTTAAATTATCCAACCCATTGAAGATAAGCAGCTAGATATAACGAATGATGTTTCAAAGCTTACAATCGATAGGAGAGTATGAAGTATTGCCATGAGCTTGCAATAATGAACAAAGGTACCTAATCCAGGTGAATGGAACTGAAAAGTTATGAATGAAAATGAACTTCCCATGAACTGTAATGGCAATAAACAATGAACTTATAATCCTGCAATGGAGTAAAACTGTTGGAGCTTTTGGCATAATCAACAGAAATGCTTTTGAAAGGTTACGGATATCATGTGAATAGCATTCGCGCTGTTAAATTTGTGATAGATTTCTTAACATCGCAACTTTTATTATGCACAAATCCAGGTCAATTTTTATCTCGGAATGAGTTTGACGTATTTTGTTTGGCTTTGTCGTGCAATGCTCACTTTCTTTACTAAAAACTGAGAAATGTATTTATATATATATATATTTTTTTTTTAACGGGTACATTTTTTTCTAAATGGTTGTTTTGAGGTGTTTGAGAGAATTATACTCTCTTTGAACCGCTGCAGTATGTATTCAACTTCATCGTAAAGAATTGAATTGATTGTTATCTTTTAAATTTATATTCTTTTGTAAGGCTTGATTCTATTTCCAAATAATATAACACATCAATAAGCCAAAATATCACAGTAAATTCAGAGTTCATTACTCATTTATTTTATTTTGATTTTTCGGACGGATCGACCACCTATAACGCTTGTAATTATTATTATTATTACTTTTTTTTAATGATAAAATAACCATGTCATATTTTTATCTCATTAAATTATTAATTCGACTATGTTATATAAATATTTGGTTTCTGAACATTGGGATGATTAATTATGGTTCCCGAAGAATTATGTTATTTGAATAATAAACTAAAAAAAATATTAATAATATATATGACTGTATAAAAAACATTTAATATCATATCGATATAGGTTATATGCTCATCTTTCAGGAAATACATATGAAGTCACTACTAGTCATATTATAGTTTCCCTCTAGTATTTAGCTAATTAATAATTAGCAAGACGCTAATTCAACTTCCGACTAATGTAAAATTGCAAGGTAATTCCTGCTTCAGCGCTAAATCATCATTCCCCACAACGGGGTCATGGAATCCCGGTACCTTCCTAATAGTAATTAACACTTAGTACGTGTAATTAGAGTCATGTACTCTTCATGACCTTAGTTAAAGTAATTACAATGGAGATAGGGCGCTGCGTTAGGGTTTATGCAACTTTACGACCGTTTTAATGCTTTTACTTGTTATAGGCTTTTCCAAAGTTTAATTTGAAATGCTTCTTTTATTTGTTTATGAGATCTATTATTTTAAAGCTAAGTTTAACATCTTTGGCGAAGATATAAAGGACGAAAATGTGACATCAAAACAGTGAATTTATTTTATTTTTATTTAAAAAAACAAAACACTATTATAGCCAAAAGTTCGCTGACTCCTTTATTCTCTATACCTATGTTCTCTATACCTTAATTGTTAGAATATATTTTATCTATCTCTTCACATTTGGATTATTTTTACTACCAAAATTGTCCTTTATTACGAATTTCGTAATAACCATGGCTACATATGCAAAATAGAATACACACATATATCAAAATTTAACTTTTTTTTGGAGAATAGGAACAAGACGATAATGACAATGAAGGCATTATTTAAAAATAACATTTTGGATTCGAGAGACATAGATCGAACAAATAAAAATGCCTTCCAACTAAGTTAGTATAACTTTCTAACATTTCTATTGGGTACGTAAGGGCAAACAAAATAAGACAAAAAATTGTGATAAAAAAAGAGAATTAAATTTTTACAGGTGTGTCAAAGAAAATATGTTCGAGCAAGCATAAGTGAAAGTCTTGGATAAAATTTGACGAAATTAACTATCTAGTGTACAACCTGTAAATCTGTAAAATCTCAGTAAATTTCATCAAAATCAGATTAACTGTAGTTAATCGCTGCGATCTACATTATTGTATAGGTAGGATTAAGAGTATGTTGCTTACCTGATTATGTTGGAGTAAGAAAAATTAAACGATGTATGAAATATAAACTGCATAAACAAGTAAACACAATGTATATTAACATGCAGCACACATCACAACCTTCTAAGGAGTATTGATAGATTATGAATGACATTAATCATGGATTTGTTAAATATTGCAAACATATTCAATACAAGCACACTTTGGAAGTCGGAGATTACATTGTCCCTGATGATCTTGCTGTGGGTTATGAAGCCACGCCAGAGACCCAGCTTTCTAAGTCAGAAGTAGGCTTGAGGTTCTTCCACACGAGATGGCACAGCACAATCTTTTACCATATAGCATGAAAGGATCTATTCTTCATTTTGTGTGCCTATTTATGAGTTACAATACAGATTGACAGATATACACTTAATTAAAATTGTTTCGTCATGTCCGAGAAGTAAAAAAAATGACAAAAAAATTTCTTCAGAAATAGAAAACGTCACTATCTAGAGAGGAAAAACAATTAATTTGATTGATGTATTTTCATTATGCAGTTAATTTATATAAAACTTAAAGTTCGCTGTTTGATGTTAATCATACCTAACAATGGATTTAACAACTAAAATTTATCCATAAATATTCCTGCAATTGTAAAGAGAGAGAGGTAATTTGAAATCGGGGTCAGTCAAGCCTGTCTCAAATACATCATCTGGATGTGGCTAGTTTATTGTCATAAAAAGAATAATTTATGAGACACAATAACTTGCCCAAGATTAACTACCAAGCTGATCTTACTATATACGTAAGATTATAGCTGTTTAGGTTCCGTAATAATATATTTGGAACCTAAAATTAAATCCTGGATCTGCAACTGAATGTTGATACGCTAGTATCAAAGAAATGTCAAAATGGATTACTGTGACCTGTTTTTTTTTTATTTATATTTATTTATTTCAAGTTGGAATCCGTTTTCGAAATATTTAACTGAAGAAGAGTAAGAGTTTCGAAAGAGCTAAGCGGCACATTCTAAATGTCAAAGGAATTTACGGCCTTGGTTCTTCCTCGAGTACAGCCTTCTGGTCGGCCATTATATCACATACTAGCAATTACTACCGGGTCATTTCTAAATTATAATTATTTCGTGTCCTTTTTTTTTTTTTTTTTTAGGCCGTTAGGCGAACGGTTTCCTAATCGCAAAAGAACGATATCAGACTCTGATCGTTTACTGGAAGCAGAAATGGTATGTTCTTTAACCGCAACCATTTGCCTCCTTAACAGATTTTTAATAGAACAACTTCTAAGGTAAAGTATACTTCCTGCCAAGGCCAGCAGGATCATAAAACGAGAGATCTGTCACATCTCTTCAAAATATGTCTATGCATTTAAAATGCTAATATTCAAATCAAAAGTATGTTGGACGTGTAGTAAATAAAATCTAGTAATATATTAGAGTTAAAAAAGAAGAAATTTTACTGTTAATGTTGCAAGATTGAGATAAATTAGATAAGTTAGTGTGGCTAGATTCTTTTCCAACATAGTATGCCAAGTCGGGCAGTAAGTTTAATTTATATCAACTGTCAACTTTTTTTTTTTTTTACTAGATATGGAAGTGGTTTTTTTAATTTTTTTTTAAATATGGACGTTATTGCGTGATTGTATGTAACACGTCTTTGTTAAATAAAAATAGGAAAGGCTATAGTTAGTGAATCACTGATTTTAACCAAATTTTTTTTTAATTAGTCCAAAAATTAATATGGTTGGAAAATCAGTAATTCAGTTTTCTAATGGTTGTGCTAACATTGGATTTTATGAACTTGATATTTTATTTGAATGCTTAGGAAATGTTTCGTGATTGATTTCCGGTCGCTGACAATAGTGGATAATATTTCTTATTTCAAAATTCCGCTTCCGAATGTGGTACATCTTTAATATGGCAAACATAGTTTTTGTGTGTGCCATTTTCTACAACCATGTCACAGCTTTTCCAGAAGTTAGTCAATCAATGACATTTAGCACAAACATTGACATTTAGCACAAACAAACAATCAAAGAACTTCACACAGAGATCCGAACAAATAAATACAGTATGCATCAGTACTAATACCAAAAATAATGCCAGGTAGTTTGCAAGATAATATTAGTCTATATTATTTATATTTATTCACCCTGAAACTCCACGTAACTTCTTCTTTAAAAGAACTCATGAAAAATTAAAGTAAAAAGGAATGTTCTCCATTAATTTTCATTATGGTTCGAAATGTTTCCTGAGGATGTGGTTCCTTTAAGAATAGTAGTGCACCAAAAATAAATTAGATATTTAATAATAACGAAATATAAATAATAACATTGCATAAAAATACAAATATAAAATTTGAAATACATATTTTGTTAGTACCGGGGTCTTGGTCCCGTTTTGGTATTTATGTATCATCAGGCTATCTATAGGTTGCCAACCTATTCTATGTTGTTAAATATGTTCGCTCAAATTCAATTATTTTTCATAAGAAATTTAATAGATGTCACTTAGTTTTCTTGGCGAATTTAGAAAAAAAATTTTAATAATAATAATTAATAGTATGTAATTGATCTTGCATTTTCAACTAGTTAAGCAAGTGAATTTCATATTGCAATATCTCATCTTCACACTCCGTTGAGTAATGAATTATTATAAAAATAAAAAAAACAAGTCCATGAAATTAATGATATGCATCATACTGAAAAAAAAAAAGAAACAAGATATCCCTCTTTTTTATCTGATCAAAGAAAGCGTGGTGAGAATTCTTCAGGCTTGCTATAATTTCTTTTGGGATTTTCTCATGGAATAAGGAGCGAACATTAATTCCTTATCAAAGGTGCTGACTTACCACATATGTTAGCCAAACTTCGTAGTTATTTCCATCGTTCTGTAACAGTAAGTAATTAAGTCCTTTACCATCGCCAAATATTGCAAATAGTGCCATAAATTACATGCAAGCCATGGCGCAATGTAAGATGCAATTTAAATTGCGAAAACATAATGCTAGAACCTCAAAATATTGTGTAAATATTAAAGCATGTAATGGTAATATTAAAGATGGATTGTAAAATGAAATATAAGTGCTAATGAAGTAAAAAAAAAAATACTAATGGATTTATGTAGTACATACCATATATATAGTGCTACTCCAGTCACAAAAATACAAAAAAAAAGCAGTGTTAAAAAAAAAAAGGATTTTCATAGGCAAATATTTGAATGATTAATCATATTACACTGTTAAATTTGAACTTTTAAAAACGTTCCAATTCCTGTATTATGAAATTTACCACATAATTATAGCATATTCAGATTTTTTTTTTTGTATACATTTTTTTGTACATGTTACTAGATTACATATGTTTCAGGTTAATTGGATGATACTTGTATATGTCAAGTTGTCTACAGATTTATATATATATATATATATATATATATATATATATATATATATATATATATATATATATATATATATATATATATATATATATTTCCCGTAACCCTACAAACCATGAAGGGTCTTAAGACAATATAAATAATTGTTAAAAATATAATGGCTGTGAAATGTGGAAGGAGTGGTAGTTGAGTTAATACAATATTTTTATGATGTTATTTTAGGTTTTATTAATAAAATTATTTTATACCGTATTGTTTGATCCATTCCAAACGTTACTAGCATGACAATTACTACCGTTACATAGATTTCTTGTAATTTTCCATAAATTTAAATTAATTGTTACTCTGAAAATAAATGATCTTATTTGTGATTGTGTTTATTTATATTGACGTTGAATCAGATCGTCGTGGTCTCGATTATGTCCTTAAATATCATAGTTGTGTGAACTTCACTCATATTTTTATAATCCAGCATAATTATGTTTGTTCTGACTGAAGAAAAGTATTGGACTCGTTAATTCCCAACAATCGTTAATTTTTTCCTATTGATTATTTGTTTCATTCATTTTACGAGTGAAACATGCCTACTAAGTATGTATCAGTACTGTTAGTGCAAAAGGTGGTTTGTAAATTTTTTAAATTATTATTCTATCTTTGACATTATATAGTCTGTAATTGATATAAGTAGTCTGCTACTATGGAAAATAGTAGAGGCAACAACATATAAAATTATATTAATAAGTCATAAAGAAATAATTAGTTTTTATGCTCTCCTGTAAAACACTCAATTTTTACATACGACCTTTTGCACTAACAGTAGCCATATGCATATTCAGTATGCACTTTATTTTTTTTTAAATAACGAATCATCAATTATGCAATCTGCAAATGTGGAATTATTTTGCATTTTAGTTTTTGCTGATAAACAAAACTCGCGGATATGAAGCCATATATGTTAATAAATTATTGATTTTCTGAAAACGTCTTCTTTCAGAGATTTTATTATCATACGAAAAAATGTATTGTAATTGGAGCTGTTTCCTAGAGAGTCGGTTTGAACTTTTCAATTTGAACAGTGGCTATTCTGTTACTTTTAATTTAGATACTGTTGCAGTATATTCTGCCACACTTTCCACAATTATTTTTTTATTTGTTGCAAAAAATCTTCTATAGGGATTTTTTAAATTTGAGGCTTTACAATAACACATCCTACTTCATTGTTTACTTTTGTAGCATCTGTGGATATCACATTATATTTTTGTGTATTTTCATTATTTCAAGAAATACGTTTTAATTTATAAACGTAATATACCGTAAAAATACGGAGTAATATATCTTTTTCACAGACAGCCATCGAGTTTTATATAACTAGCGAAGCATGGATCCATGAGTGGGAGGAAGGTAGGAGAGTATAATGTAATTTCAAAAATTACAATTTATCTTTTTTAAAATATTTGTTTCACATTTTCTAAATGTTTCAAGATAAATGCTTAAATATATTCTTTTTTGCACCAATAATATATCTTCAAAAATAACTTTTGGTGTCTATTTAATGGTGTCTATCTATTGGTCCTACATTTCATTTAATTTTGGCTTACCAGCAGTATTTGTTTATACTGAAATATTTATGTCATCAAATTTTTAAACTGCGCGTGCTTAATAAATTATATTTTTGATTCTAAAGCGTAAATAAAGTAATATTAATATAATATTAATATTAATTTTAGCAAGGCATGCATTATAGATGGTATATGAAATATAAATTTGTATGAAAAAGGGTGAAAAATTAACAGAATAAACATACTTAAATTTCATTGAAAGTATCTCAATCATTTATTATATAATATTATCAATAAGCTGAATTGAATTCAACAAACTTTGGTATGGTTTTGATATTATAGAATGAGTGCAACTAAAAGCGGAAAATGCAAATCAGCTTTCTCTAAAGTGCAAGTTAACAATCGATATCACCTCTTATATACAGGAGGATTCAGGTGGCGCTATAGGATTGGTTGCTAAAGAGAGGTAAACTCTAGGGTTAAAACATTACGAAGGATAACAAAGAGAATTAGTACAATATATATATATCTTTACAACTTTTCCTTCATCGACCTTTGAGTATTAAATTCAAACTTCACTATTTTATCGGGAATAAGGTCACTTAATTGAGTCACTATTTCTTTTTTTTTCTTTTGCCATTACAGACTATGTAGATATTTTGCCACCTTAACAAGCTTGCTCCATCTCTGCTTGTCTTGGGCTATTTCTTTCCATTTATCTGCAGCTCTAAAGCATCTTTGTTGATTCTATCTATCCATCTGCTTTTTGGACTTTTATCCATCTGCTTTTACGTCGGCACTTCTAGATGGATTGCTACAAGCTACATGCCGATCTTAACCCCCGTGCCTTCATATCAAGGGATTGACCAGTTGCTGTAAGCAGTTATTTATTGGCCTTTCTTATCTATGTGTTAGTACTCTGATCCTACACCGCTCCGGTTATCGTGCGGAGGATTCTTCTCTCAAACCTTTTAACTTTTTTCTAGGGTTCTGGTCAGTGTCCAGGTCTCACAGCCATATATTAGAACTGGCTTTATCATAGCATTTTATTCCCCTAATTGGAATTTTTCGGGATATCAATGATTGAAATTGAAAGGGAGAAGAAAGCTTTGTTTGCGCTAGTTATACGCTGGACTATTTCTGCCCATTGGTCATTCATATATATATATATATATATATATATATATATATATATATATATATATAGGCAGTAAGCAAATACATAAATATATATATATTTGTTTCCAAGTACAAAATACAAAATAGGTAAAATACCTGACAAAATTATCCATATTGAGAAATAATTCTTATTTATAAATGTTTTTTTCTTCTTTTTTTTTCTAACTCCCAAAAAAGTTTATTTAATTAAATTACATATATGAGTACAACAATACTAATATATACAAATAACAAAGTCCTTCCTCTGCCCGAGGGCAAAATATTTATAAATGATGAATCATGCAATATTTTATCTATTTTTAAGTGCAATTATGACAATATTAGATGAAATAAGCGGTAGCGATTAAAATAAAAACTACTGACCTTCAGTTCCTCCATGTGTGCTACCACGTGAATACCTTAACTTATGGACTGTGCAACATACGTGATATATTAAAAAAAAAGAAAGAAAAAAGTAGGAAATCATACTAATGACAATTAGTGTGTAGTGTAAAAAGAAATAATTCTCTGATTTACAGTTCAAGAACAAATAAGGTTGCCATGGCACTGTTAAGGAAAATACCTGAGGAAACCATCGATGTGGAAGAATAAAATTATGGAATCATCTTTTATATTTCCATTAATTCAAGATCGGTATTCATTCAGTCCAATCAGGGATTTTAATTAATGCAAAGAAAGATAATGGAATAACTTTGTTCCTTCTAATTCACTGTTTTATTATTTTGATGGAAGTATTAATATGCTAGAGGAATAACATTTATTATCGATAGTGTTTGGTTGTAATGAAATAACATATTAAAATTAAGATTTCATAATTATGAATTAGTTCATCACGAAGTCTATATATTGTGTTTATATAGGCAGTTCTTTTTTTTATAAGATTCCTCCACAGAAAACCACACTTGCATGCTGAGTCAGAATTAAGATAGAAAAGAAAATGAGTTTTAAAACTCAAAGGTGATCCTGGCCTGATATCGACAAATATCTTTATTTTCAAGGTATTCTGGTATTTCAAATTTCCTGTGTTTTTGATATGGAAAATTACAAAAGTTTAGAAACCAATACAAATACGGATTTCCGGGATTTTTAACATATAAAAAAAACCTGTTTCTATCACATTAACTTAACCACTCGTTATATATCGGCTTACACAAAACATTTTCATTTTTACTGCTTATTATATGTAAAATGCTTTTTACTTATTGATAAAAAATTAATAGTAACAATAAGTGTTGTTCTCACGAATAAGGTTATAGACTATCGATTCAGAATGTTCCTTATGCTATAACGCAATCCATTTTTCAAATATTTTGTCTCAATTGAAAGTTTTCCTGAGTTTTGTCTTTATGTGCCTTTTCTGGTGACGGTGTGGTGACATAAAACAGGTCGTTTTTAACAAAATTTTATAAACCTTTAACTACTCTTCCACCGATTAAAGAAAGTTATTATATCTTATATTTTTCACATATGAAAATGTATGTTATAGTAAAGAAGAACATTTTTTAGATTTTATATGACCTTATGAATTATAATTAATAATTATATAATGAATAAATACCATTATATAATTATTAATTCGATTTAGAATTTAAAATAAATATGTTGTTGAACATTCGTTGTTGATTGTCGTTCTACCAGGTCCGTGTACACTATGCGTCTAGTATCATACAGATATTTTACTAGGCGCCCACAACATCATAAAGTATCATATATAATACAGAAAGTTAAATTTAGAAGTAAATTCTCTTCTTGT